TTTACACAAATATACCATATATACATATACATATATAGATATATATACAGCAGTTTTTTCAAGCTCTGATGGTCCATGAAACAAAGACAAGTGTAAATAACAAAATTAAATTATTACCAAAAGTTAGGTACAAACATGGTTACTTTTCGATATAATCACTGTGAAGATTGAGGCAATTGTCATATCTGTGGATGAGCTTTTCTATCCCCTTGTCATAGAATGTTGCCACCAGTGAATAACATTGTTATTTTGAAGATCATCATTAGTCTCAAACCTCTGCCCTGCTAGCCACATTTTCAGTTCAGGAAAAGAGGTGGAAGTCTTCACACATTAAAAAGTTTTAAGTTGGGTGGAAGTCTCTACCACCTTTAAACACCCAGCATATAGCCCGATTTAGCACCAAGTGACTTCCACCTCTTTCTTGAACAGGAAAAGTGGCTAGGAGGGCAGAGGTTCAAGACTAATGATGATGTTCAAAACAATGTTAGAGCCCATCTCACGTCATTGGTGACAACATACTATGACAAGGAGATGGAAAAGCTCATCCACAGATATGACAAATGCCTCAATATTCACAGTGATTATGTCAAAAAGTAACCATGTTTGTACCTGACACTTTTGGTAATAAATTCATTTTGTTATTTACACTCGTCTTTTTTTTATGGACCATCAGAGCTTGAAAAAAACAGCCTATGTATTATGATAACATTTAANTAACAAAATGAATTTATTACCAAAAGTTAGGTACAAACATGGTTACTTTTCAATATAATCACTGTGAAGATTGAGGCATTTGTCATATCTGTGGATGAGCTTTTCCATCCCCTTGTCATAGAATGTTGCCACCAGTGAATTGAGATGGCCTTAACAATGTCGTTTTGAAGATCATCATTAGTCTCAAACCTCTGCCGTGCTAGCCACGTTTTCAGTTCAGCAAAGAGGTGGAAGTCTTCACACATTAAAAAATTTTAAGCTGGGTGGAAGTCTTCACCACCTTTAAACACCCAGCATATAGCCCCAATTTAGCACCAAGCGACTTCCACCTCTTTCTTAAACAGGAAAAGTGGCTAGGAGGGCAGAGGTTCAAGACTAATGACGATCTTCAAAACAATGTTAGGGTCCATCTCACGTCATTGGTGGCAACATTCTATGACAAGGGATGGAAAAGCTCATCCACAGATATGACAAATGCCTCAATATTCACAGTGATTATGTCAAAAAGTAACCATGTTTGTACCTGACTTTTGGTAATAAATTCATTTTGTTATTTACACTCGTCTTGTTTTTTATGGACCATCAGAGCTTGAAAAAAAACAGCCTATGTATTATGATAACATTTAATACTGTATTTCATATTAGACTTACTTTGAAAATTAATTTTATTTAAAGCATTGAAAGATTTATCTTTTAAGTATCAAATGGGCATTTATAACTTTAAACATATGGCTTTATTATTTGTTCATTTATTTCAGGTGATGTTTTCATGCTATTAATTTGTTCAAATATTTTAAAATTATTAATTTGTCTTTTGTGTTGAACAGAAAATTATAAGAATATGATTAAAAAACAAAGTTTATCTTATATACTTAATGTTTATTCTATAACTAAAAATAGTCTTCTACTGTTTGAATGTAATTTTATTAATTATAATTAAATATATTTATTTTAGCTATGAAAATTCCATCAAACAACTTCGTTTCATCAGAAATATACTGTATACATGAAATTGTATAGTGGGTTTGTTTTTCTAAGTGAGATTTTTTTTGTAATTGATTTTTAAAACTAAAAATAAGAAAATATATATATTATTTACTTACAGAAATATTTTGGAGTAATTTAGTTGCAAATATTATAAATGACTATATTTCTGTTTGCTATGTATAATTTAAAAATTTTTTGTTTATTAAAAATATTCATAAATATTTGGTTTTTTAACAAAATATATGATACTAACAGTTGTCTGTAAAAATGTTATAATATATATCTTCAAGTAAGTTTAATTATACTAATTTAAAAATATTAATTTAAAAATTTATCAAAAGGTTAAAATTTCTACTGCTTGAAAAAAATATTTTTGTAAACTAAATAGTAATGATTCAATGGCATTAATTAAAACTTGTTTGTTTATTAAAGAAAATAAACATTGATCAAAAAATATTAAACATACTTTAAGCCAAAAAATTACAAAAAGTGTAAATTAAATTAGATTTACTTTACTAAAAGATTATTCTTAAATGAAACTAAAAAATACATATTGAAAACTACTTCAGTTTTGAATTTAAATTTACTATTATTATTATTATGTGTTGGGTTTAGTGGGTTATACTCGGTACACACCGGTGGCTGTGTACTATGCCGGACCAGAGTCAAGGCATAGCAACCTAAACAAAACTAAAATAAAATAAGAGTGTGTCAGTGTTTGTGTCTGTATTCAGGAATTATTATTATGTTACTGATTTTTACTGATTTAATTCTGTTTGGTCTTTACTGATAATATATACTTATTCTAAAATATTTTAAATTAATGAAATATTTTGAAATTTCAGACAGTTAGCTTTTACAAATAAAGATATTTACAATCAAATTAACTGCAGTTAGTTTTAAGTTTGGCTAAATGATTTACTCATTTTAATTAAAAAAGTTGTTAATTTATTGCATTAAATTATAGTTTCATATTGTTATAATTTATGTTAATGTTTCTTGAAAAAATGTCAATTTTATTTTCAGAATAATTTTTAGATTTTCATTTTGAAATTTCTAGAAAAAGAATAATGATATGCCAAAGCATTAAATATCAAAATTTGGAATTCAAGCAATGATAAAGTTTTGAAGAAATATTTTTTTTTTATTCATAATAAGACAAAAGACTGTCTTTTAATCATTTTACTTTTTTAGAAATTTATGATGAAAATATTCCAAAATCATCAGAAATTAAATTTATTTAATACACTAAATGTAGTAATTTAAGAATAAGTTTTTATTGAAATTCTAATTTAAAAGTTTAATTAAACTGAATAATAATAATAAAAAATTTTTTAATTATATGTATTTTTTGGATTGCCAAATTGTAAAAATTAATAAGACAATCATTTTTTCATGTATAAAAATATGTTGATGAAAGGAAAATTCATGTTTTTAATTATTTAAAAAAAATCATTTATCTATGAAAATTAGAATTGGGAACTACTAATTCTAACAAATAGTATTCCATTTGTAAATATATAAATCAGATATATAACTTGTTATAGAAAAATCTATATGTATCATTTTAAAAACATGAGATTTAAATAGTTTAATTTAGAAAGTAGAATGTAATAAATTATTGCGATTATTAAATGTGCGATACAAGTTGATTACAAGTCATTGTAATCTTGTTATGCCTTATGTAATTTATAGTCGTTGCTCAAAATTTATCAAAATAATTGGATATTGTCCGTTTTATTCCATGGCTCAGAAATGCAACCAAAACGGTGTGTTGTTTGAAAAGTGTTTCAAATATATCATTCTTGTGCAAAAAATATATCAATTCATTATATGCTGTTTCAAAACATGGTTATATAGAGCAATAAATTTTGGTTACTTTTTTGAGCCACCATTTATAATATGCAATTTATTATATATATTTTCAACAAAATATATTTTGTTGAAATATAAATATATGTAAATTATGTAAATTATTGACTGTAATTATTGACATTGATGAATATATTTCATTTTAAAAAGTTTTGATCTCTGGTTTTTAAACCAAACTTTAAGACAGCATCCAAATATTTTGAAAAGGGATTGAATGTAATTGTAAAATTTTTAATTTTTCAATGAATTTATTTATAATTTCTTATTTGAAGATAAAATTTTTAGACAACTTATGTAGAAAAAGAAAATTATTATAATCTACCTGGTGTTGTGGATTTATATACTTGAAAACAATCATCTTTATTCAATGTACATCATTCACTTTTCATTGTTCAATCTTCCTCTCAACAGCATTGAGAAATGGAAATTTTTTCCATTCTGTTGTATAATTCTGGTTTTAAATATATCAGGGTTTTATTATTTTTTGAATAAAATACCACTTGAATTAAAAACAGATTATATTTTNTTAAAAAATAAATACTGTATTGAACATCAAAAGTTATAAAATTAGAGTAAAAATTTTCTAAAAAGCAAAATGAAATTACTACAGTATAAAAATTTTTGAACTTTCCGTTCAGAAATAGATCTTTTCCTTACACATTACGCAGAGAATTCGAAATTTTACACCTTTATGTGAATTGACAGTATAGAGAGGTTTCCAGTCGAGTGAGCATGCGCAATTGTCCGGCGCCATCTTTATGGTTTGTTTACGTTTTATTTGTGTTTACGCGCGCTTTAGCTGGAGTTCTTGTGTTTTTTAAACGTCGGTAATATCACTATGGTCAATTATTGTGTAATTCAAATTCAAATAAACTTTATTATAATAGGGTTTGTTTTAACTCTCCGCCCTGTGGGAACTAAGAGAGCCTCTTAAAGCAAGCCCATTGAGTTCGGCCCACAATGGGGCGGCCGGGTGATGAGGGAAGGGCCCGACATATCCAGACGGTCACCCCAGAAAAATTCCTGGCCCGTCCGAATTCTATCCCGGCTCCACCCAGAAAGGTAGGCTGTCACCTTAATACCCACGGCCTATTGTAATAGGGTAATATCTTACACAGGGATTTACAGTCTATATAAACTCGTTGATATTAAAATTGTTTTTACAATTCTCAAAACAAGTTAATCCATACATAACATCTTAAATAAAGAGAAACAAAACACTTTTTTTTCCGAGAAATAAACATAATTTTAAACAACAAACGTTTTCAGCCTAATTAATAGGCCATCTTCAGGTTGAAAACTAAAATGGAACGTAAATGTTCCATGAATAGAACATAAAAATTTAAATCAAAAATTTTACAAGAGAAAAAATAACGGAAGAATATTTAAAAATTAAAATAAAACACTAAAACAAAAATAACATAAATCTTCAATGTATTAATTCTGGTCGGAGCTTGTAGTATATTTCTTAACCAAATATTTCCATGCCGAAGGCAGGCTCTCGGAATCCCTCGCATTTAAACAGCCTTCTCTTATCTTACTTCTGTATATTTCTATTTTTTCTGCCGTCATTGCTAGAGTTGGGGAAGACAGAGGTTTGATGATTGTTGCCTCGTCCCATTTCACCTCAGATCCTTGTGCTTGCGCCATTTGTGACAAAACCGTTGAATTAGACGCTTTTCTTATGGCATATCTATGTTCCTTGAGCCTTACTCCCAAGCTTCTGGTGGTGACGCCGATATAATCTTTTTTAACGTCCAGTTGTAAGTTTTCATAAGGAATCTTATACACCCCTGCTCTCTCCTCCGCTCTGATATTATCCTTATCGTTTCTCAAGATCTTATACAAATTAGGGGCTCTTCTTAATACCATTCTTGATTCCTTTCGTCTAGCAATTTCCTTCATAACACTATTCATACTACTATTATAAGTAAATTTCGTGAGCCTAGTAGGAACATTTCTTAAAGTTCTTTTTACTATGCCCCTTTCATACTTCTTAAGCATTCCGACAATTACACTTTTTCTGTAACCCAGGGTCCGGGCCACCTGCAATACTCTATCAATCTCCTTCTCTCTGTCAGCGATTTGGTCACAATATAAATAAGCTCTCCTTATTAACGCTCGGAAGGCTGCCATCTTATACTGATACGGATCCATAGACTGGGATGGTATATATAATGGTGTGTGTGTAGGTTTAATATAAACACTTGTGGACAAATGCCCTTTCATAAACCGGATATTAATGTCCAAGAAGTGCACATTCATGGAACTCTTTTGTTCTAATCTCAATCTAAGCCCATCATTGTTATCATTAATTCTACTCATAAATTCATGCACCCTCCTATTATTCTTCCATAAGATCAGAATGTCATCCACATACCTGCTGAAATATACGATATCATCTTTGAACCCATGAAGAACCCTTCTTTCTAGTCTTCTGACAACTAATTCGCAAAGGATTCCTGAGAGGGGACTCCCCATCGGAACCCCTCTTTTTTGTCTGTAGATCTGACCACAAAAGATGAAGCACGACTCACAGCACACCAGGTTAGCCAGTTCTTCTAGCTCTTGCGTGTAAAGAAGCAACTGGGAGTTCTTTATGTACAAGAAATCCAATAACGCATCCACACAAGACTCAATCATTACTGAAGGATACATGCTTTCATAATCTAAGACGGTCGCTACCTCATCCTCCATTAAAGATATATCTTGTATCTCCTTGACAACAATAAGAGGATCCTGTGCCACTAGATTATCATCATCAAGGTGCGAGGATAAATACCCGTGCAGCCTTTTTTCTAATATAAAGGTGGGTCCTCTGCATTTCTCTACAACTGGCCTTAACTCCATTCCGGTCTTGTGGGTCTTAGCGAAAGCAAACAATCTTGGAGTTCCGGGCCTCGGGTTCCGGCATTTCTTGAGAAAAGGTAAAACAGCAGAAAGTCCCGAGCGTTCCAGCTTCCTGACCCTTCTGTCCAAAGATCCAACTACATTGTCGCCAACAATTTCACATTCCGTCTTTTTGATGTAATTATGCAACTCCTTGTTATAAGTATGCCTTCTCATGATAACCAAATGTTTAGTTTTGTCTGCTCTTGTCAACACAAGATCATTCATCCTTAACCACTCCTTCGTGAGCCAAATGTACTAGTAACATTATCCGTCCCTTTCTTCGGCCGCTTGTTAATGACCGCTTTCCATCTAAAGTATTCTTTCTCTAATGCATCCAGACCAACTATCGCTCTCTCAATTTCTTGTACTGACGTTTCCCATCCACCTACTTCTGTGAGGACAAAGTTCGGGCCTTTCTCCAGAACCTGCTTGATTTTCTTTGGTATTTCTACCTGGTCCCATACGTAGAAGGTACTAAGGTTCTTCCTATTATCTCTTCTTACTTGCTTGTAAATAATCCATTTCAACTTTTTGATATATTGCTTATTGGAACTCCTACAAACAGCTTCCGCCAACTCCACCACTCTTTTATTGATATCAATTAGTTTGGCCGGATCATCATTATATATGGTGTCCTCCAAGCAAATAAGCTCACTCAATATCCCATACTTTTTGTTTTTGGCTATTCTAATAGACTTTTTGAGGCACGCCAAAAAATTACGTTCCATTTTAGTTTTCAACCTGAAGATGGCCTATTAATTAGGCTGAAAACGTTTGTTGTTTAAAATTATGTTTATTTCTCGGCAAAAAAGGTGTTTTGTTTCTCTTTATTTAGTTGCTGAGCGCTTTTGATATTGTAACATCTTAAATGTTAAATTAGTTGACCGTTCTCATTATAATTATTAACATAAACCATCTTTACTGTTCTTGACAATGGTAATTTAAATTTAGATACAATATCTTAATTATACAAATTACATATTTGTAACCTTTGCTCTGTAAAAAGGTATGCACACTCTTTTCATCTGTTGTTTTATCTAATGCACGGGAGTTATAATTATCCCATACAATCTTCATATAAACACCTTGATAATGCAATTGTTTTTACAATTAATCCGTACATATCTTATTCCAATACAATAAATTATTATACAAATTTTATATAGTTGTGACCTTTGCTTTCTGAAAAAAGATATACATATCTTTTTCGTTTGTTACTTTATCTAATGCACGGAGGTTATAATTATCATGTAATTCTTGAGCTTCTTTGCATAAACAAAAAATATGAATTTTTTAGCATACATCATTACATATATAATAACTACAATTAAATAACTCATAAATCGACTTATTGTTTATCATCAGCTCCTTATTCTTATGTTTTATCTGTTGGTTGATAATTACATATAACATTAGATCTACTTTTACATAAATAGTTGTCCAAAAATTTTTTTATTTTTATTTTTTTAAATACTGAGACCAACTCTCAACTGAAACCAGTAATGTTTTGTTTACTCTTAAAGATTTTCCATCTGCATTAACTGCTTTTTTTCTTAGATACTCTTACATATATTAATATTTAGAACATGAATATTAATAATCTATCTTCATCTTTCATTTTGAGCATCCATGTCTCTGAAAAACCAATAATAGAGTGATATTTTATATCATCTTTTACATTTCCTTTATAAAATTTTTCCAGTAATCTCTGATTATTCCATCATCCAATAGTCACTTTAGTTCTATCGTTACACATTTTTGTTTTCAGGAGGGGATTGATTATTCTTTATGTTACTATTATTATTCCGTTAACTTTATTAAAGTCTAGATCTATATACTCCATTTTTAACCTTAACATTTCGTTCGTTTAAACTCTCTTTCAATCCATTGGTTGTAAATTCTGAAGTAGTTATTAATTCTTTCTTAAAAAAATCACTTAATCCAACCACCTTATCCAGACTAATATCATACGTATACATTTTATCATCTTTTATCTCTTCTCTTAGCAATGTTTTATTTCTTTTTGATTTTTATTGTTTAATTATTGGTTTGAGTTTTTGCTTCCTCAGCCTTGATCTTTTACACAAATCTGCTGTAAATATTATTTTTTTATTTTCTCATCTAAACTAACTTTCTTTTTCCAATACTCTTTTAAAATTAAGTATCTAGTATAATCAGTCAGAGTCTACTGAAATTTTCACTGTTGGTTTTTTTCATTTTTAATCAACAAATTAAGCTTTCAGTCGAGCTATTTGAAATTCTTAATTTTACCTTTATAAACTGATTAACTTCCCTCGAATAATCCAACGAAACGAACGGAAAATTTATAATTATTTTGTTATCTCTCGTTAACCAATTTCTCCAACTCAAATTCTAACATATCTTATTTGACTAGATTCTTAGGTATAACTTTCATTTCTTCTACTCTCTGTGGCAATCTTGTTAATTCTCGAGAATAATTATTTTCCTCTTTCAATGACTTAACTTCTGTCCTTATTCCCTGTAATTCCGCATTAAGTTGTAAAAAATTTCCCTGAATTAAATCATATATGGATTTTAACGTTTATTGGGACGATACCTCTACCTCTGGTTTAGTGTATTTTAACTTTTCAAAATATTCGTGTATTTTCGGATTTCTTGTATCCTCGAAACTACTTTTAAATATTCTTCTTCCACTTGTCGAAATTCTTCGCTCCTTAGAACTTCCAATTGCTTTTCCATTTCCGTTTCCCTGGAATTTTCCTTGGGCGTTCTGTCCCGCTCTCTTTTTTGCATATCCGCTTGAGACATTTGCTGCGGAGAACGAGGTAGAGGTCCTGAATTAAGCTCAATTCCAGCACGAATCAATAAACACGTAACTAAGTTCAGGGATAATCTATTCATAAATATCCAACTCTCCAAGCAAATTTTTTTTTCGCTATATACTGGCCTTCCAATGCAATAACAACCAATATTTGATCTTTACCAAAAGTTCACTCGCATCTCCGGCGTTCAGCACACAACCCCCATTGTTGTGTAATTAGGTGTATGCTAGTTCACTCAAGAACGAAGAAACGTCATTTTTAAAAACTTCCGGCATTATTTGTCATCAAGGACCCCAAACTGAGGAGCTTTCACAACGAAGGAAATTTGCATGGCTCTCGAGAATTAACTAGAAAAATTTCAATACGGATAAAGTGAATATCAATACAAGAATTTGTCAGAAACATCTCATTTCAGGTAAGCAATAACGTTTTGATTAGATAATTATTTATTAAGAACTAGTAAACTTTTGCATGAGTATGATGAAGTGTGTACAAGCCGGTTGCATAAATCCCTTTGTTAATATCGACAAAATAAAGTTAAATAATTTTAACAATCACAGATTTTAGTTTGATTAGATAATAATTGTGTTCTAACTTTATTTTTCACCTTTCTGTTTGTTTTCTTAATCCCTGATTGTAATAAATATACAGTAGAGTTAATATTAAAGCGTTAAGCAAAGATAATCACTTAGCAGATGAATTAGAAATAAATTTTAAACCTATTGTCCTTCCAGTCTAATTTACATAAATAAAAGTGTGTATATTTTTTAAGATATAAACCAATAATTTCCATTGTTTATTTACAAATAGCTAAGTTAATGTTGCTCACCAAAATAACCTAACATTTCTTTAAGATGTTACTTTTTACAATAATTTTTTTACATTAATAACAAATAATCACTACATAGTAACCTTCAAGTTGTTCCTGACAAATTTTTATTTGTTACTTATATATAACATACCATAATGGTAAGTTCTTTTTATTAATAATATATTATTGAAAAAGTTTTTTACCTCAAACGAAAACCTCCCTCATTTTATGATGAGTCATCACCAGACTGGGTGCCAACATTATATATTGGGGTATGAGAGTGGCCACAACCCAACTGCATGTTAGGAGCGTTATGAAAGAGCACATATTCAGGAGAAACACAACCATGTGCAAGATAGTTATGGGCCTATAAAGATTTGTAAGCTTTAATTTGTAAAAGAGTGTAGTAATTTGTCGTTAAAACCAAATAGTTCAGACCACGACTCTTGATTTACAACGAAGATGCTGGCTTTGTATAGCTCGATACCTCGATATAATGAAACTTTCTCTTCATATAAAGCAGCATCTTATCCTGTCAGACTGAGAATAATCCGCCAGAAAAGCATATTTTTTAACTTTATCCATGATATAAAACTACTGCTGTTCTATTAAGTTTAAATTAAAAAAAGTGCTGACAACCTGTCAAATAAACCACGTGCAAGCTACGCAAGCGGAAGCTAGACCATAAACATGGCGAAGGGGCGGAGCAAACAAGCGTTTTATTACGTGACATTCGACCTTGAAACCCCTCTATTGCGTCAATTCACATAGATGTAAAATTTGGAATTCACAGAAAATTGTAATTGAGCATACTACTGTCTGCTCAATAACCGGAAACATACATGATAATTGATCTGTCCACCTGTTTTGCTTATTTATATCTTGAATTTATTGTTTCACCTGCAGTGGTAGTTTCAAGGACAATAGTAGGAATAAAATACCGAACAGTATTTCGTTGCAAAAAAATTCAATGCCAATTGATATTTTAAAATTTATTGACTCGACTGCTTACAAAATTTGGAGGACCCAAAAAAAAAAATGTGATATATCCGAATCCGCGACATAACGAGAGGCTACTGTATCAATTATTTAAATAATACAAGTATCAAAATAAATTTAATTAATAAGAAAAAACTTAAAACTGATTTGTATTTAATACAAAAAACATTACAAATTATATTTCTTATTCGAGATATTTTTTGCTTTTGTTCTTATCTAAATTTTTATTTATTTTTTTTTTTTAAAAAGCAAAATCAAACATTTTTAATAGTGCATAACAAGTATAATAAAGTTTTTTTGTAAGTAAACTATGTCACAGAAATTTTTAAAAAGCATCAAATATTTCAGACATCTGTAAGTAATATTAATTAAGCAAAAGTTGACATAAGTGAATTATATCCAAAATAGCAAGATAATTTTGGCAGAAAACAAGTTTTAGCCCATGTAATATGTGTGTGTTTATTTGGTACTTAATTATGTATTTATTTTTGGAGCTATTGAAAGGGGCTATAGCCATTTAGTCCAGTTAGTTTTTTTGACCGATGAAGATTCGTTGATATTTGATCGATAATTTGTTGATTTTATTTGATCGCTTTAGAAAATATCTAAATTTATATCCCGAATTTCTTTTTATAAAATCATAGAATGTACATTTAAAAATACTTGTAATATTAAATTCTTCACTTCTACAATTTGAATAAAAAATAAACGAATTTATTTATTTGTCAAGATTGTTCCTTACCCCGTTTCCCAACAATTGTCAAGAAACGACTGTTGTGATTAGTCGTTCACGTTCAAGTCGTTTTGTCTCCCTTTAGAAACTTATTGGGCTGCAGTTTGAAAAATTTGTAGACCTATAAATTCCCACTGTCGTCCGTCTGTCTTTCCTTAATTTCGAGAACGTTGTTAGGTAGATGAAATCGGAGAACAGATATCACCTCAAATTAGTAGTGGCTTGCCCCTGGTACATCATACTTTTACTTTAACAATAGTCATACCGGTTATTCATTTACTGCTTTCTGAAGAAATGTTTTGAATTGAAATATTTCAATTCAAAATATTTGCTATTTCAATTCAATATAGTTAATCGGGTCCTCCTACCCTTAAGTTTCCGAGAGCATATATTATAAATTAAATAAATTAAAAATATGATAAAAATAATTGCTCGCGTTTCTTTACTTATTAGATTTTGACATTTTAAAAATAAAAATCGTCAATACAATTGTATGATATATGAACACAATACTCTCATATAAATTTAATATGCTGTCGGCAGATGAACTTTGTAAACTTAGCTGATTTTTTTTTCTGTTGAAATTTCAATATCGGACAGTAATATATGATTAATTTTACATTACTAGTTACAAGCGACCCAGATAAACTAGCCATTTGTATACTAAACGTTGTATAAATTATTTAAATTAAAGTATTTAAACGTTGTTTAAATTATTTAAAAGTATAAACGTTGTTTGTAAACTAAAAACACATTATAAAATTTAAAATTACATATATTTTAAATGAAATAGAACATTCAATCATATAAGACATTGATCTCTCTGTTTGTATATCTGTAATCTGTAACGGAACGGAATGCCTAGAACGCCAATAGGACTGTTCCATTTTAATCCTAAGTAAATTTATAATGGATTTTTTTTAAAAAACCCTTACTTCTGTTTTTGCATGATAAATTGAGTTTTTAAAAAAATTATAATCGATAAAACGAAAATAAGTCAATAAATATGCATCGAAGTACAAAAAAAATTAGTTAATTTTACTACATCAGTTTCATTGTCACGCGGAAATGCTACAATATCGGCAACAATACATTTCTCAATTGTTTTACTTTATTTGTTGTAAGTGAGCGATTTTTGGATGCGAAACAGAAACTTTTGCGATTTTCCTGCTTTATTCATTGAAAATAATTGCTTCGGATATAAATGTGAGTAATATTTTGATAGACTACACAATATACTGTACAAATATTTTCATAAAAATAGAATTACCGATCTAAAAACTTATTATTGGATGAGCAAATGGTCCTTTAACTTAAGTGAAAGCACAGAAGAAAGATAAAAAGTCCATTTGAAAATAAATTTTAATATTTTAAACTGATTTGGAATATTTGAAATTATTTTAAAATATCGACGTTTATTGTGCTTCATATTAATTTGCTTTATTATTTATTTTATTTATTCCTATGGAGACTCTCCTTCATTCAAAATCTTTTGTAGCTGCAGTCTGTGTAATCAGTAGCGTAGCGTAGTGGGGCGGCCCGCCCCGGGCGGCACTTTTAAGGGGGCGGCAAAATTTCACAATAAATAATAATATCTTGTAAGAATTTGAACCATTTTATTTCATATCTTCGTCCATCTACGATTCCGACCGATTGAAATGAGCACGGACAGTCCGGGAATCGATTCTTCGTCTGGAGATATCTTGCGCAACCTGTCGACCTTTTTATTTTTTATTTTATTTTTTTTTTTGCTTCTACGATTTATTCGTATATAACTGATTTAGAACCAGAATGCACTGCACATTATTCTTCGCACTGCAAAATGACATTCCATCGGGGACTTCTGTTCGAACTAACCTCACCTGCCGTCTGGGTCGGCGATTTTAAAAAGGTAGCAACACTAGCACGGAATTTTTCATTACCTATTCTCTGACGAAACTGAATTTTAGTCTTTTAAATTGAGATACCTAAATAAGGGGGGAGAAATTTTCCTTTGCCCCGGGCGGCTGACACCCACGCTACGCCACTGTGTGTAATAAGCGTTTTACTTTCGTGTTGAGTTTCACTGTAAATCGGAATTAACTTTATTTTTCCAGTTGGTTTTAGCAATAAATACCAGCATGTTTGGGAACGATCAATTATATTTTGCATAAGATAATCGATGGTGTAACAAATCTTTAATGACACTGCTGCTGCTAGAACGTTTACTAGGGCACCTACCGGGCTACTAGTACTGTTTATATCTTGTGATTTAGAACAAGTAACATATTGTAACATATATGCACGAACGTTACATGTACATGAATATTTGAAAATAGCTAAACACCAACCAAATGCTGAAATTCTATCGAGCTAGTTTAAGGCTATTTACTAAATGAATTACGTAACCAATTTGGTTCTAGAGGTAAGCGTTAGGCGCCATCTCGTATTAGCATTAATAATTATAAATTAATTAATTAATCTAAATGTTTTTATATTTGGAAAAATTGAAATTGATCAAATATAATGAATATAAAAATACCGATAATGAATTAAAAATCACAGTTTAATAAAATCGAAAGAAAAAAAATTTATTACAGTAGAGATTCCATACAGGGGACTGAACCCACAACCTTGAGGCCTGGAACCTCAATGTGACTGGCGCGCTCCTACGAGCCACCATCCAGTCGACGATCGTCTGGTATCATCAGGGTTTTAAGCATGTCGAAGCCCTAAGCTCAACTCTGTAAGGCTCCTTACCAAACCTTCACAATTTTAGAAGTCAATCACAAAAAGAACAGAATTAAATCAGACTATGACACTGATTTAATGCGTATATTGGAAGAAAAGGACGTGAGATTTCGCTAGTCTTTTGTTTTATAACTAAGTTTAATTAAATTTTTATGCCCATTCTATTAAAAATCTTTTTTCAAATTGGTTTTATTAATTTTTTTAAGAAAGATCTTACGTTAATTTATAGAAAAAAATTAATGAAATACTGCACAGAATAAACAGTGAAGTATATTTAGTCGCTACGTAAAAAAATGCTTATTACAAAATCTGACATCAAACTTTTTTTGTACAAATGTTTGAGGTTCCTAGAAAGTCGAGGCTTTTTACTTGTAAATTCGGCCCTGATGAGATGTCCGTCGGTCCGTCCCGTAACCGTTTGATAACGGACACTAGAGGCGCCCCTATCGTGTGTCATATTTCAAACATTCAAATTAACAGTTTTAATTCTTATTTAAATTAACAATATGAATTATTATTATTCACTTGGCCAATAAATTATTATTTGGTCAATATTACAATATAAATAATTCAGTATATTTGTAATAGGAATTTATTATTTCAGGGGCTTATATCTCGCGAAGGGTCGCGAGTAGGGGTATGGTTCCTTTGCCTTTATTATTCGAACAGGGGGCTACAGTTGGGGGGAGGGGGGTCGCCACCTTTTCACCTAATCTAATCATTGGGACTATAACAGAGCTGTACAGCATATTGATAGGAACAAAAAAGTCAAAGTAACCGTGCTTCATGAAAATTTGTAAACAACGCCCGCTAGGGGGCGTCCCGGGCTACTAGTATGTGTAGAACGATCTCACTCATTTGTTTCGATACCACATAATAAGTTGTCTCGCTAACAATAACTGTTCCACTTCTATAAAATTTCTCGACAAACAGCCAGAGGCAGCATATATCATTATATCGGACAGTAATATATGATTAATTTTACATTACTAGTTACAAGCGATAAACTAGCCATTTGTATACTAAACGTTGTATAAATTATTGAAATTAAAGTATTTAAACTTTGTTTAATCAATTTTCAAGTAGATTGTGTATTAAAGTACTGTATAGGGTTTCTCCTTGGACGCGAAAAATTTCGATACTAACCGATAGTTGATAAATACATTTGATGATAATGAGAATACACTGTGTTCCTTTTGTTATAATGTTTTTATAAACTTGAATTTTAACGGCGAAATATTAAATTATATTCACATATATTTTAAGGTATTATAGTTAGTTCGCAATACATTGTTAACATTAAACAAAATAAAAAACACATTGAATATTTTAAAATGAACACAAATAACTTATGAATAGAAATGAATAAATCTTAGGCTTCCTCGGCTTCCTCTTCGTCAAACTCTCCTTCTTCTTCAGCGGTAGCTTCTTGATACTGCTGGTATTCGGAAACTAAATCGTTCATATTTGATTCGGCTTCGGTAAACTCCATCTCGTCCATTCCCTCTCCGGTATACCAATGTAAAAAGGCTTTTCTACGAAACATGGCGGTGAACTGCTCCGAGATGCGTTTGAACAGCTCTTGAATGGCCGTAGTGTTACCTATGAATGTTGCCGACATCTTTAATCCGCGAGGAGGAATGTCGCAAACGGCCGTTTTTACGTTATTCGGTATCCATTCTACAAAGTAGCTGCTATTTTTGTTCTGGACATTTAGCATTTGCTCGTCCACTTCTTTCATGCTCATCCTACCGCGAAAGATGGCTGCCACGGTCAAGTAGCGACCGTGACGAGGATCGCAAGCTGCCATCATGTTTTTGGCATCGAACATTTGTTGCGTCAATTCGGGAACCGTCAGAGCTCGATACTGTTGACTTCCGCGAGAAGTGAGAGGAGCGAAACCGGGCATAAAAAAATGAAGACGAGGGAACGGAACCATGTTCACCGCCAACTTCCGTAAATCTGCATTCAGTTGACCCGGGAATCTCAAGCACGTGGTAACACCGGACATGGTAGCCGACACCAAATGATTCAGGTCACCGTAGGTCGGAGTGGTTAATTTCAGGGTTCTGAAGCAAATGTCGTACAAGGCTTCGTTGTCTATGCTGTAGGTTTCGTCGGTGTTTTCTACCAGTTGATGAACAGAAAGAGTGGCATTGTAAGGCTCCACTACTGTGTCCGATACCTGAAAATATTGTAAAATTAAATTATAGTATTCAATCGATTTTATACTTTAATTATTACATTTTTTCCTTGTTTTTGGTTTAATTTTGATGATAAATTTTTGTGAAAGTTATAATTATTCAAAATATTTTTAATATTTATTTATTTTAATGTGTATTTTTAATTTTTAAAATTAAAAAATTATTCAGAACATGGATACTATAAAATATTACCAATTAACTAGTTTTGTTTAGATTTTTTTTAAAAATAAATAACTCCAAAAGCTTACATTAACTTATAACCAGTTTAATGGAATAAAATAAAATGAAACAACAAACCGGAGAAATAATTAATTTTCTTATTTTGTTCGCTTAAAGCAGTTATAAGTTCGTTTTTATACTGCAATTATTTTTCCACTTAATTTACTAAGCGATGAATTTAAAATTGTTTTATATATGTAAGTACATTATATAAAGTGTAAACTGAAGAAAAGGTGTTAGAATATTTTTATGATTATTGGCGAAATTGAATTTACATATTAAATAACGAATGGCAATATTTTGCGAAATTTACGTGGCATTTCTAGTATTTTTTAAAATTTTAATTGAAAATTTATTCTGAATATTTCCACGCGGATTTTAATTAGCATCAGTTTCGAAGAAAATGCTAGAAATTTTCGTCTTACAAGTTAGTGAGAAAAGAGAGTCGATTAATATAAACGAAATCATTGGATGGAGAAGACAGAAAACCTTACTTTTGGTGAGGGAACGATGCTGAAGGTATTCATGATTCGATCGGGATATTCTTCTCGAATTTTGGTAATGAGAAGCGTTCCCATTCCGGATCCCGTTCCTCCTCCCAGAGAATGCGTCAACTGAAAACCTTGGATGCAATCGCAGCTTTCGGCTTCTTTTCTCACCACGTCCAGAACAGAATCCACCAACTCGGCACCTTCCGTGTAATGACCTTTCGCCCAATTGTTACCGGCACCACTTTGACCTAAACGTTAAACCTTTATTAAGTAATTACCGAAAGAGATTAGGGAAATAATTTTTCATTAATTAAACCCACCAAAAACGAAATTATCCGGTCTGAATAATTGACCGAAAGCACCGGACCGAACGGAATCCATTGTTCCCGGTTCTAAATCCACGAGAATAGCTCGAGGCACGTATTTGCCGCCTGTTAAATAGAAATATCGAAGATAAAAACACCGCATACAATATAAAAAGCTATTTTTTTGTCTTTAGAAGAACAAACCCGTCGCTTCATTGTAGTACACATTGATCCTTTCCAACTGCAGATCCGAATCTCCGTGGTAAGTTCCGGTGGGATCGATTCCATGCTCGTCAGAAATCACCTCCCAAAACTACGTAACAGTAATAATTTATTTACAATTGCCAAATTTTATATACAGTATTAGAGCAGTGGTTCCCAATTAGTTTTTCCTGCGTACCACTTCAAGAAAGAGCTCAAACTCGCGTACCCCTTATAGCAGAAATTCACATTAATCTATACTGTACTATTATTATAAAATTGAATGTAATTCTGGCTGTCTGTCTATTACCTTTTCACGTCTAAACCGCTGAACAGGTTTTAATAAGATTTGGCACAGAAATAGCTTATATGTTGGAGATGGACATAGGATACATTTTACTGCGAGAAAATATCTTACTCCCACGAGAAAATTCGATATAATGCGGGCGAAGCTGTGGATAGACAGTGATAAATAGAATAAGTTTTTTTACATTATTACCTTTAAAATACAATTCTAATAATAATGAAAATAACATAAGGTTATTTAATTTTAATGTGACAAATGTGCATGATTTTCTTTGCACAACGTTGTAAAATCTGGTTGCTTTTTGGTCAGCGTCAGTCTCAAGTTATCTTCGAGTTGAAGTCGGTGACGATGTTTAGTTTTCATGTTTGTCATAGCCGAAAATCTGCTCTTGCAGAAGTATGTTGTGCAAAATGGTAGTAAATATTTTATTGCCGCTTCGCTGACATGATGATAATGTTAATTGTACAATTTTTGTTTCTTGCGTAAGAATTTAGGTATTGTCACAAATTCATTTTTTAAATGAAATTTCGAGAATATTTTTAGTTATAAATAAACGAATTTGTGCATTCGACAGCATGTTGTAAATTGCCGAATTTTTGATGGTCCACCCATTATTTTTTAGATTGCTTTATCTCATGCATTTAAATTTTAAATTGCCGCGCGTACCCGCAATTGGGAACCATTGTATCAGAGGTTAGCTTAATGACATTCATTTAAAAACGTCATTAATTTCGTCTTACCTTAGCGCCAATCTGATTTCCGCATTGTCCCACTTGTAAATGGACGATTTCTCTCATTTTGTTTATTCGTAGATTAAACAGTAGTAAAATTTCTTAATGTTGAAGATTCAATTGGATTTATTTCTGATCTTCCGTAAGTCAAAAACTAATAACGGACGCTTCTTTTACGCATGCGTAAAACTCACACTTTTCTCAATATTTATGAATATATTTTTTAAGTTCGGATTGAAATCGTCGTGTATTTATATATTATTTTTAGTAACGAAAATATTTTATTTTTAAAGTATATATTTAAATGTTTAAGTTTCGAAATCAAAAAAGTAAAATTATAAAAAATAAAATTTTTGAGTACTCGCGCGTGCTCTCTTCAATCTTTCAAACTTAATCGCGCGCTTTGTTTGAGTCTGTTAGAAAAGGCGCGAAACTATTCTTTATCTGCGCATGCGTAGAGACGAACTAAAATATAATTACTTAGATAATATTAAAAATATTAATTAATTAAGTAAAAAATTAATTATGTAATTTGATTTTAGAGCAGTTCGTTTCTATGCATGTATAACAGCAAGTAAGTTAGAGTGGCGTAACGGTCTGTCCCGGAAAATCTGGGCGCATGCGTTATTAGCGAGGTTGCGGCCGACGTTTTCGCGTTGAAAACGTCGGTCGTAGCCTTGTTTCTATTCTCTAGCAGACGACACCGTGATGGCGAAGGACAACCTCAATTCAGAAAAGGTAAACAAATAAAAAAAATTACTACTTCCGGGTAATATATTTGTGAGGAAATGTGCACTAAACCACTTTTATAAGAAACTAGCTTACCCGTCGCGCATTGCTGCGATCTCAGAAAGGAAAATCAAGCAAACTCGTTATGATAAAATTCAATTTACATTTTATCATTTTTATTGAAACTTATTATTATTATTCATTTTCATCGGGAAAACATTTCAAAGTGTCGTTTCAATTCTATTTATTTATTGGAGTGTTTGTGGATACACGATATTTTTTGTTTTTCCGTCTGGTGCGTACACGAATAAATCGGAAGGTTTTCCGACGCGTGAGCCGGCCACATACAGTTGTCCATGCGAGAAGCACGGATTCTCCAAATTTAGCCCACACACTCGCTGCGATTGTCAGAAGTGCGATATTCCCCATTTTTATATATATTTTTAAATCCTTTATAATTTTAATTATTTAATTGCTCCTTCCTCTCTTCCTTGGCATGTTGTGAAATTTCTGATAGTTGGATAATAAACCGTTTTATTGTAATTTGTCTTTTTAAATTATTAGATGATATTAAAATTTGGAAAAGGGGATCCCTAGATCGGTAAAATAGGCGAATTTCCTTCTACAACTTCGGTTGTTGTTCGGTATACAGTTAAAGTTTTAACAAAGTTCGAGCGAATACGTAATTAGCAAAAAAAAGTTGAAATAAAGTGATTAAACAAACATTATTACGAATATCGTAAATAACAGTTCACAAATGCATATATAGAAATATTTTTTGAAGGGGGAAATGGTCTTCACAATTTGAAATCGATCGAACACACTGTGCTCGAATGCTCGTGTAAACGCGCGCCATCTATCGTAGGATAAATGTACTATGCCAAAAACCTTCGCGGGAGTGTATTAAAAAACTTTCCAAAGTTTTATGGCAATCGTACTATGCCACAAACCTTCGCCGGAGTATATTAAACAACTTCCCAAAGTTTCACGGCAATCGGATAAACGGTGTGGTAATGCGTGAAGGACAGACACACACACACACACACACACACACACACACACACACATTCATTTTTATATATATAAATTTACCATATTTTAAAATTTAAGTATTAGATCTTAGTAAATAAATAGAGCATAAGCAGAGCATCGATTATCCGACTCAATTGGGGACTGGGGTTGGTCGGATAATTGAAAAGTCGGATAACCGAAAAGTATGAAAAAATCCATTATTAGTGTAGTATATTATTATATCCCATGTAACTAGTATATTAGTATATCGCTATTAACCTACTTCGCGTTGAATTTTCATCAATGTTAAGCCTAACAAATTTTTAAAAAATAATAATCGTCGCTATTGTATCCTAAAAAATTATTTTATTGCTCACAAAACAAACAGCCATTCATAATTAGAAAATTAAGTCTCGTTTAAATAAAGGCTTCCCTTCAATGGTCGAGCCGTGTTGCCAGCTAAAACATGCAAAAATTTAACAAAAATAATATTAAAGTAGCCAAGACATAGCCAAATATTGTAGCGCCACATCACTAGCGGACATTTGAATTTGCCGACTAGAACGCGGTCGGTTAACCGAGGTGACGGTTAATCGATGCTCTACTGTACTAAACATTATGCAGTAAATTTGTTCATTACTTAACTTGGTCCATAAAGTGAGCTACGATTTGTATGTACTTGTTTATACTGGCATTTGTACAATAAAGAACTTTCAATGTAAAGACACTGTTTTACCTTTTCACCAAAATTTCTTATCCCGTGTATAGTAGTACCCATAGAGCCCATTAACATGACTGTAGATCCGGGATTTGTTTTGTGTACATAAGACACCCCCCCCCAATTCCATCTGAAGTATCGACTGACGCACTGACTTTTGAACCAGATAGCCGGGATTCAATTTTCTGGAGTAACAGCAAAATACTAATTGATGCTCTGGGACCTACTGGGCCTTCATTGTAATGAGTAAAGTAAACCTATCCTCTTTTTACCCGGCCCATTTTCCGTGATTTTGAAATAACGCGGTCGACAAAAGAAAACTAATTCTCTTTTTACGCGATTGATTTTTTATACGGGAAAATAATTAATTTGAAAATTTTTAAATGTAACTTTTCATTAAAATTGTTGAAATTGATAGTTCATTTTTCTTTTATAAGCGCAGTAGTTTTTTCCCCTTCTTTACTGTACACCCTTTTTGTTTTATTAAAGGATCTACATTGATTCCTGAGTGTTTGTGCCTATTATCACTGGTGTGATAAGCACTTATTATTATTTACCTCACATTAAATTAAATATCTACTAATGTAATATTACTTTTATCACATTTTTTCTTGCAATCTCACAAGCTGGTCCTAAACTTTTTCCAGAGAAACATGTTAGACGGAATAATATTTTTACTTTTTATTTATAATAACATATTTAACAGTAAAAAAGCATTTTCTTTCAGGATATAACTTGTTTCATTCAGAACTTTAATGCACTACAGTCCTAAACTTTTTCCGCACTGTATATATATTTGGAGAGAATGTCAAAACATAATCCTAATTAATGATAAATATTAAGTTCGATTTTAAACTTTCTGAGAGTTTTGAAAAAAGTCACTTAACACTGCCTTGAGGGTAGTAGTTACCTGTTTATTGTATTATTATTATTTTATAGTTTATCACTTATTTAAAAATAAAATCAAGCAACGAGTTACTTTCGTAAACTCGTCTTTAAAATTGTGGTGCCATCATCATCATCATCTTAATGCGCCATTTCCTGTCGAAGGTTGGCGATCCATATAGCTAACGTTGTCCTCGATATAGCAACTCGGAATATCTCCATAGATGTACTGTACGCCCGAACCACCTTGTGATGTCTTTCAACCATTGATTCTTTGGTCTCCCAACAGACCTTTTTCCTTGTATTTTGCCCTCTAATATTAGTCTAAGTATTTGATATTTCTCTCCTCTCATTATATGACCTATGTACTGTGTTTTCCTGATTTTGATGATCAGCAGGAGTTCTTTTTGCTTGCTCATGCGGTTCAGGACTTCACCATTAGTAATCCTTTGTACCCATCATATTCGAAGTATTCGTCTGTACAAATACATTTCGAAAGCTTCAATTCTTTTCTCAGTTTGAGGATCCAGAATCCAACTTTCGCATCCATATAGCATGACGGAGAAGATGGAGCACCTTAACATTCGAATCCTCAGACAAACTCAATTCGGATCTAACAAAAACTTTTTTCATATTCATAAACGATGTTCTGGCTTGTTCGATCCTTGCTCTTATTTCTTTACGCTGGTCACATTGTTCGTTTATTATTGTGCCGAGGTATTTGAGAGATGATACTTGCTCGATAGTGTTCCTGTGAATGACAAGATTTGCACTTTTTCTTGTTTTTGAGAACACACGAAGTTTGGTTTTGGTAAAATTCACAAAGAGACCATGCAGTTCACTCGACAATACGGTCCATCAGTTGTAATTTTTCGGGACTACTTGCAATAACCACTGCGTCATCTGCGTATCTAATGTTGTTTATTAATTAGTAATTGTGGGATCAAGGTAAATGGCAGTCTTCTAACGCTTTATTGAATATGGCCTCTGAGTATACATTAAAGATGAGGGGGATAACACACAAATTTAAATAAAACAGATATTAATATCTGCTTTATTTAATTTTATACAAAATTGTAATACTAATAAATAATTTTTTTTTATTAAACTGCATGGACGCCTAGAGGGACAAAAGAATCAAATTTTCCTGAGTAAGAAAGAAGTTAGTACCACTAAAAAATGTTTGTTTTTTTTTCTTTATTTCCTTTACTTTAATACAGTAATTTCATTTAGATGCCCCAATATGTATTTTTCCACAGGCCCGTTAATTTTTGAAGAAATACGGTCTCGTTAAAATGTATTTTGATTTTATAAATTAAATTTATGCCATTTTCTGAAATAAACTAAAACAACGTTAAAGTAAAGAACTTCAATCACAAAGGATTTATCAAAAAGAAAATAAAATGCCTCTTAATTGTACTAGAGAAAGTGATTGAATAGTCTTGGTATCAATTTGTCCAGTTTTCTTAAATATAATCTCAATATAGAAAAAAGAACTTTATACTTTTTTACAATTTAAAATATTTGAGATGTCAACAATACAATTTTGATGATTGTTGAGAGTCGATTTGTTGAAACAATTTCAATGCGAATTTGTGCGATTTATTTCGAAGAAATGAAGAATTTCATTCTTTTAATGCTAATTTACATAGTTTTTGGAATAGATGCAAGGAAGCTATTCCTTACCGGACATGACAAATTATACCCAGCAAACGAACCGGAACATGGAAAAATGCCGGTTCGATCCGAACAACAGAAAGGAAACAAAGATTCCAATGAACAGAATCAGGTTTTCTTATCCAAACAAAGTATGACGACCGAACAGGACAGAAAAAACAAAGTCTTGT